AACTGTTACTTATGTTTCACGGAACTGTTACTTATGTTTCACGGAACTGTTACTTATGTTTCACGGCACTGTGACTTATGTTTCACGGCGCTGTGACTTATGTTTCACGGCGCTGTGACTTATGTTTCACGGTACTGTTACTAATGTTTCACAGCACTGTTACTTATATTTCACGGAACTGTTTCTTGTTTATATGCTGTATTGCAAAGGTAGAAATATAGGTCAGAGTTACCTGATTTTCATACATTGTATATGACACGCCGCCTGATCAAGAGAACCCATCACCCTATGTTATAAGCTCGAGTGACTAGTAGTGTTATTACTTGAATGTATGTCAAATGCTAAAATGTAGGAAAGGGTGACCTATTTTTGAATGTTGTACATGACACACCGCCTCAGTATGTACTTCAATAACTAGTAGTGTATAAGATTTAGTCCGGACATTTTTTTTCTTTGACGTAGGTCAGAGGTCAAAATCTAGGCCAAAGTGACCTACTTTTGATACGCGATTCACTCTCACCAAGCTGAATCCATATCCCAAATATAAAGTTTCCGTGATTAGCGGAGAAGAAAATAGGGCCCGGACAAGATAACGGAAGAATGGACACAATGAATAACTACGGCTCCCTGTGGGATACTAAATACCAAACACACATTGATTAGATTTTGCCTCGTTCCCATTTGATCCCTATCCGTTGTCCCCAAATTCAATGCATGAATATTTGTGATATTTATTTTATATATATTTTTTATATTACATATACGTGTCCTCCTTTTTACATATTAAAGCGTCATACGGAAGACTTATCCGACAGGTTTTTTCCATTTAAAACAGGAGCATGGACGGCTATAATTCTCGTGTCTATCACAAGTCAGTATCCACTGGGTTCCATGCAAATAAACATTGATTTCTGATAAATGGACACGCGATGCACTCAACACACCTCCGTCGAATTTACAGAACACAAAAAGGAAACCCTGGCAATATTCACGCGATTTACGGATTAAAAGTACATGCAGTAAGACCATGATTGGGTGAGAAAAGTGTGATAGGAGCCTTATCTATAGAACCTATGGGCGCCAATAATCATTAACATTGTTAGGCCTTTTCAGCGAACGTGAACAAGCAGCGAATGGCTAACCGTCTCCCACAGTTTCATCACATATAGGAAAGACCGCGGTCCTCTCTCGTAATTTCCGTATATGGACAAATATAGATTTGGAAAAAACCACTCATTCTAAGACGAAAACGGTCTGTTTATTAATTGAGTTTTTGCTTTTTCACACTTTGCTTAAAACAAATCATGAAATGTTGATTGCGTGTTAATTTGACCACTGACCTCTTTGGCTTCTTAGAAAAGTTAAAATCTGTCCGATGAAATTTTAAAAGAAAACAAAGGACAATATAAGACTTTGGTCGTGAGACAATGAGATTTAAGGCAGCTTGATATTGAGACAATCGTACTATTTGTTGGCTGTACAGAGAGACAAGTAGATATGTGGTGGCTGTATAGATAGACAAGTAGATATGTGGTGGCTGTATAGATAGACAAGTAGATATGTGGTGGCTGTATAGAGATACAAGTAGATATGTAGTGGCTGTACAGAGAGACAAGTAGATATGTGGTGGCTGTATAGAGAGACAAGTAGATATGTGGTGGTTGTACAGAGAGACAAGTAGGTATGTAGTGGCTGTATAGAGAGGCAAGTAGATATGTGGTGGTTGTACAGAGAGACAAGTAGATATATAGTGGCTGTTCAGAGAGACAAGTAGATATGTAGTGGTTGTATAGAGAGACAAGTAGATATGTTGTGGCTGTATAGAGAGACAAGTAGATATGTAGTGGCTGCACAGAGAGACAAGTAGATATGTTGTGGCGGTACAGAGAGACAAGTAGATGTGTTATGGCTGTACAGAGAGAATAGATCACTGGATATTGTGACAAGCATTTTAATGGTGACTGGATATTGTGACGAGCAGTTAAATGGTGACTGGATAATGTGACAAGCAGTTTAGTGGTGACTGGATATTGTGACAAGCATTTTAATTGTGATTGGATATTGTGACAAGCAGTTTAGTGGTGACTGGATATTGTGACCAGCAGTTTAGTGGTGACTGGATATTGTGACAAGCAGTTTAGTGGTGACTGGATATTGTTTCAAGTAGTTTAGTGGTGACAGGATATTGTGACCAGCAGTTTAGTGGCGACTGGATATTGTGACCAGCAGTTTAGTGGTGACTGGATATTGTTTCAAGTAGTTTAGTGGTGACTGGATATTGTGACAAGTAGTTTAGTGGTGTCTGAATATTGTGACCAGCAGTTTAGTGGTGACTGGATATTGTTTCAAGTAGTTTAGTGGTGACAGGATATTGTGACCAGCAGTTTAGTGGCGACTGGATATTGTGACAAGCAGTTTAGTGGTGACTGGATATTGTGACGAGCAGTTTAGTGGTGACTGGATATTGTGACCAGCAGTTTAGTGGTGACTGGATATTGTGACCAGCAGTTTAGTGGCGACTGGATATTGTGACAAGCAGTTTAGTGGTGACTGGATATTGTGACAAGCAGTTTAGTGGTGACTGGATATTGTGACAAGTAGTTTAGTGGTGACTGGATATTAGGACATATAAGTGGTAACTAGATAGTTTGATAAACTGAATAAAACGAAATCCAAGCTTGTTCACTGAACCGTGTAAAATACTTAAGTCAACCAGATCGCCTTAAGCAAATAGGCTAATTCAATATATATTGTGTAATGTTTTCGAAAATTATAAATTTAAGGCAAAAACGTGATTCTACACAGCTATAGGCTCAATTCGTCATAAACAAAATTAGTTCTCCAAACTTTGACACTGTATGTGTTAACACGTTTTTTTGGCATATGTATTATCATTACTGTAGGTATTCTAATGACCGCAGTGTCAAGAGAAAGCTGCATTTACACCGCAAGCCTGAATCTAAATCTTTACTAAGCCGAAAATAGGACTTCTGTTCAAGAATCCTTAGAAACAAGAACGAGGTTTTAATAGTGTTAAGTCAATTGACACTGGCCTTCCCTCAGCATTAATGGCCTCGCCTACTTACGGAACCAATGCACTCACCCCTATCTAATGACTTGAGCGACCTTGTTCCAAATATAGCATTACACTCACAAAATCGACCTTCCTTGGCCCTGCTTTCTCCAAAGAACCGGAAGTCATTTTAATATTTCCTGTCTATTATTGTAGCGCATCACGAAATTTTAAATTATCTTTTTCGTAACTTAGAGATTAAGAAAGTGTCCATCGAAATTTGACACTGAAAATGAATTTACATGCAGTCACGATATCATCGATGGTGTAAATAGCTGTTACCGTTTGATTAATATATATTGCAATTTTCTTATGTAGCTAAAATCACTATCATTTCCCCGCCTTTTTTTAAAGATATATTGACAAAATTATATTCTAATATGTCGAAAGACACAACATTAGATTGTTACCGTTTGAGTATAGTTTCGTCAAATTTCCGGACTCGTGCGTAAAATTCATCTGGGCAGCTGGTGATGTGACGTAAATGAGAGTTCCGAACAGTGGGGTGCACGAAAGGGTAACTAGAGAATATGAAATTCGGGTTATATAATCTCGAGAGGATTTCGCCGGGGAAAGTGATTGAAGGACGGTTGATAATCGAGTATTTTTAAAATTTACATTGCATGTTTTCATAATATGATTAATTATTTGATAATTAAGTCAATCAGACACATATTTCGTAACTTAAGTATGACTACCATGCAAATAATGTGACTTAATCAATGACCTTTTAACAAATTGTGTGACTTAAGTAGCAATTTTCGCAGAGTAGTGACTTTTTACAGATAATGTGACTTAGGTGGTGACTTTTTACAGATAATGTGACTTAAGTGGGGATTTTTTTACAGATAATGTGACTTACGTGGGGATTTTTTTACAAATAATGTGACAGGTGAGGACTTTTTACAGATAATGTGACTTAAGTAGTGACTTTTTTCAGATAATGTGACTTAAGTGGGGATTTTTTTACAGATAATGTGACTTAAGTGGGGACTTTTTACAGATAATGTGACGTAAGTGTGGACTTTTTACAGATAATGTGACTTAAGTGGGGATTTTTTTACAGATAATGTGACTTCAGTGTGGACTTTTTACAGATAATGTGACGTATGTGGGGTCTTTTACAGATAATGTGACTTAAGTGGGGATTTTTTACAGATAATGTGACTTAAGTAGTGAATTTTTCAGATAATGTGACGTATGTGGGGTCTTTTTACAGATAATGTGACCTAGGTGGAGACTTTTTACAGATGATGTGACGTATGTGGGGTCTTTTTACAGATAATGTGACTTAAGTGGGGATTTTTCACAGATAATGTAACTTAAGTAGTGACTTTTTTCAGATAATGCGACTTAAGTGGATACTTTTTACAGATAATGTGACTTAAGTAGTGACTTTTTTCAGATAATGTGACTTAAGTGGATACTTTTTACAGATAATGTGACTTAAGTGGATACTTTTTACAGATAATGTGACTTAAGTTGGGACTTTTTACAGATAATGTGACTTAAGTTGGGACTTTTTACAGATAATGCGACTTAAGTGGATATTTTTTACAGATAATGTGACTTAAGTAGGGCCTTTTTACAGATAATGTGACTTAAGTGAGGACTTTTGTTATAGATAATGTGACTTAAGTGGTGACTTTTTACAGATAATGTGACGTATGTGGGGTCTTTTTACAGATAATGTGATTTAAGTGTGGACTTTTTCGGATTATATGACTTAGCTGGGACTTTTTACAGATAATGTGACTGAAGTAGGGATGGTTTATTTTAGTCTTTCGTCATGATGCTACGATCCAGTTAAATGGTTTTATTTCATATTTAGTGATGTTTTTCGATTTTTTTTTTACAGACGCTTATGGAGTTATGGTGTAGATTAATGGTGTGTTTATTTTTGATTATGTATTTTGGTTTGTTACAGATGATTATGGTGCTATGGTGCAGTTTGACTCTAAAGGTGACGCATTGGGTCGATATCGAATCATGAATTACCAGAAAAATCCCAAGACCGAAAGATACGAATATGTTGTCGTTGGAAATTGGTCAATGTCCTTACAGTTGGATGTGGACCGCCTTGTTTGGTCGTCCGGAACGGCCGGAGTCCCCGAATCAAGATGTAGTGAACCGTGCAATTTTGACCAGTACAAGTATATTGGAAAGTCTGGAGATTCCTGCTGTTGGGTCTGTATTACATGTCAGGATTTCGAATATCTGAAAGACGAATTCACGTGCGAGGATTGTGGAAGAGGAAGATGGCCAAACAGTGATAAAAGAGATTGCCACGTGCTTCCGAAACAATACATGCAATGGGATTCGGTATATTCTCTTGTCCCCATGGTGTTAGCGTGTGTAGGTCTTATTGCAACTCTCGTCGTCATTCTCACGTTCATGAAGTTTCACGATACTCCCGTTGTCATGGCATCCGGACGAGAGTTGAGCTATTTCCTGTTGTCCGGATGTTTGATGTGCTATTTTATTACTTTTATATTGATTGCCAAACCTTCAACTATAATGTGCGCTATTCAGAGATTTGGAGTTGGATTCGGGTTCTCTGTGATATATTCTTCCTTATTAACAAAAACCAATCGAATATCGAGAATATTTGATAGTGCAAGGAGATCAGCAAGGAGGCCTCCTTTCATCAGCCCTAAATCTCAGATTGTTATTACCTGTATTCTTATTCTAATTCAAGTTTTATTTACCATCGTTTGGCTTGTAATCGAGCCACCCGGAACTCGTATTTATCTACCTAATGGGAAAAGGAATGAAGTGATTCTTAAATGTAAAACAGACGATATTTCTTTCTTAGTATCTCTCATGTATAACATGCTCTTAATTATTGTGTGTACACTTTATGCCATAAAGACGAGGAAAATCCCCGAGAATTTTAATGAGTCGAAGTTTATTGGATTCGCTATGTATACCACATGTATCATCTGGCTGGCCTTTGTCCCCATCTACTTCGGCACCCTCAATTCTTTCCAGGTAAGTTTTTATATATATATATATATATATATATATATATATGTTATCCTATTTTCCTTACCGATTTCAGATTTTGAATTAGAGGAATTTTAAAATGTACATGGAAGAAAAAATTAAATTTATGAGTTCTAACAGCGAGTTTTGATTTTGAAACAAAAGTGAGAGAAAAAACACTGCAACGTTAAATGTATTGGAACAAAATCAGGTACAATATATAATTTCTTCAATGTCCTTTTGTGAAAATAACAGTGTTAAACCTTATATCGAAAAGCACAATATTTTGCTAACTAGGAATAATTTATATGAATCAGATAATTATGCATTAAGGCATTAAGAGGTGTGTAAACATGTGTGTTTCATCGTGATATCTTGAACAACTCGACATTGATGAATGGGGCGATCCATTTAAGAATACTGCTTGTTTCCGTGTTGCTTTAATCCTGGAAATATCAGATTCGGGAAAACAAACCGAGCTTTTGGTAACGAGATGCTGAACTAGATAGGTAGTACACCATAGTGGATAAGTAGTCTCCTATCACATCACTAGCTCGATGTGAGATGTATTGGTGTTTGAGGAAGCCCTGGCCCCGCCATCAACCAATCGATCTATTGATATTGTTGTGTATAGTGAGTTCCTGGGCAAGGATTTGTCCTCGATAACTCCCAAACACTCCATCACTATTGCTGCTCTGAAATGTTCAGGTCGACCCCTATCTCACACATTGGTGAAATGATGAGTGTTCAAAAAGAATGTCAAGATAAACGAGAATCTGATTTCAAACTATCCTAACTGCGATAGTACGGAATTTCATCATCCGGAAATGTAAGTTTCGGAATTGAATTTTAGAAATTCCAATTCTGTGTCCGGAAAACAGGTACTAAATTGAAAGATCCGACACGACGACATACGCACGGTTTTCTACTCTCCCCTACACTTCGATTAAAAAAATATAATTAAAGGTCAAGGCTATCAGTCCTGTAATTTTTCATTGGCTGATATTTATATTTACCATAGGGTCTTCCTTTCTTATATGACGTCATGTGATTTTCGCGGGAAAAATCAAATGCATGTGTGTATTTATAGATCGCTCGTGTCGGCGATTATATTCGTATTTGGATGAAATTTAATACTGTTTTGTTTGAGACATCTACATATCGTATTGGCCATAAATATTGCACGGTATAATGGCTACACATCAAGTTGATTATTTTTGAAGATCAACAGCGATCTGAATGAAACCATTACATAATGAATACAAAATCATGAAAAACATAATAAATCAGCGTATCTATTATCGTAAACCATTTCCATATTAGCTCGACACGTGTAATACACTGATAGCTGAAAAGATGAAAAATGGCGTCAAAATCCGGAAAAGTCTCCATGTCTGTTTCCATAAATTGTTTATCATTGTTATTTTTAGTTCAAATGTGAACGCTTGTAATACACTAATATATTTCGGTTAGCTGGGAAGTTGATTAAATGGCGACATAATCCGGAAATGTCCTCATGTATGTTTCCGTAAATTGTTTATTATTATTATTATCAATTCAACGATGAACGCTTGTAATTCACTAAAATTTCGGCTGGTTCAAACGTACTTGCACCATGACTAACCTGCAAGATGGCGTGAGGTGTTTATGTAACTACAACGAAGGTGCTAGGCATCTGTGCATTTACTATCCAACATTACTGGTATGTTCATGGGAACACTTTCGTTTACCGTTGCTGGTATATTGACTGTACGAATTAGATATGTTTGTTAAATTTTAAACACCACTTCCACAATGAAATGACCAGTAATAATTCACTGCAGATTATGAAAAAAGAAGTTTTCAGATATTTCAATACCTTTACCATGTTATTCTCCCTTATCATTGGTGACACTTCATCTGACTCACGTTGCCATTGTAAACTAAGACTCATTCCCAACCAACAAACCGTTGTCTAAATTGACCAGCGCCGTTGTGGTCAAACTTCTGACCAAAAGCGCAGTCTAGAGGAGAAAAGTTGTACTAAGGCAGGTTTTCAAGTCTAAAGCAAGACTTTTAATATTGGACCTCTTAAGCCAGTGTTCCCAGATTGACCACTGCTTACTAACACAGACGCTAGAGCATGTACAATTAAATTGGCATTTCTGAACCTAAAAGATCGTAACATACAATTAGGTAACGATTTTTTTCTGTGTGATTATTGGCCTATCTCTATCAGCCTCTAATACGTGATGTGTACTTTAGTAACCTTTGTAAAATGCACTTGACTTAGGGCACTTAAGGCCATGAGGTCATGGTCAGCTGAACCCTTGTAAGACAACAACAGTATTTAAAAATAGAAGACAGAACCGCTAAAATTCAATGGCGCGAATAAATGCGTAAATATGCATGTATGATTTAAAAGTTTGGTTTCGGCGGCCTAAAGAGTCGCTCAGACGCCCAAATGCGTTGTTGCTGGGATAAATGATTATTTAACATGTCATAAAGGGAAATCGGTGATGTTACACGATTAAACGGCATATTTATGCTAATATAAAAAGTCCTAGAAGGACTTAACAGTTGTGTGTGATGCAGTTTTTATGACGAGTCCTAGAAGAACGAAACAGATGTGTGATGCAGGTTTAGGACGAGTCCTAGAAGAACGAAACAGATGTGTGATGCAGGTTTAGGACGAGTCCTAGAAGGACGAAACAGATGTGTGATGTAGTTTAAGGACAAGTCGTAAAAGGGCGAAAAGATGTGTGGTGCAGCTTTAGGACGAGTCTTAGAAGGACGAAACAGTTGTGTGATGCAGTTTTAGACGAGTCCTGGAAGAACGAAACAGCTGTGTGATGCAGTGTTAGGACAAATCGTAAAAGGACGAAACAGATGTGTAATGCTATTTTAGGACGTGTCTTAGAAGGACGAAACAGTTGTGTGATGCAGTTTTAGGACGTGTCTTAGAAGGAAGAAACAGCTGTGTGATACAACTTAATTAATTGTTAAGCGCTACCGCATCTTACTCTAAATTTATATCAGAAGGTGCTCTTTCTAAATTAGTTAAAAAAAGTAGAATCATAGATTTTTAAAATTGTTGTATATAGGCTTGACGATCCGTAAATAAAGTGATAAATTTTCCTTTTAAACCGTTCTTTCTTTCTTTCTCGTGTTATTGACTTCAATTCTGCACTTCCACGATCGAAGCAGATGGCATCTCGTTTAGTTGTTAAGTCCTCATTAGTGTTAGTCATGTTTCAATATACATTGGTATGAATATGCTTCATTAGGAGTTGGAAGGGTATTGAAGATGTTATTGACTTTTCGTTTGTCAGGTGTCCTTCTCTGGGTATAGTTTCTCTAGGAAAAGCACACCGCGAAGATATATAGTAAGTCATGGACCGTAAACAAGCCACGAGACATTCAACACTACAAAATCATTAGTTTAACTTCGATCCTGCTCTAGTAGAAAATGGGTCTGAAACACGGCTTAACAAAGGTGTAGTGTAGATGAAATCGTCTTCGTTAAAGTTGGATCTCAAAAATATTTTTTTTAGTATACAGTATGGTATTTAGACATGGCGATGGGGGAGTGGAGTGAAATATGAGAAGAAGGGAGGAGTAGGCGGGCGGGCATTTTTCAGTAAGATTTACTCTTCAGCGTAAAGTTGAGAAACGTAACATATCCAGCTTAATTGGGGGCAGAAGGGTTATATATGATGGGATTTACGATCGGTAAAGGGAGTTGTTTTCGACGGTGTCAGAGAAATTCTCTATAATGAAGGGAGATTGTGACAGAGAAGGGTAGGAAAGTGAAAACGAATGTTTTCTATGCTATGTATGCATGACTCAGCGAGGCGTGACGGGATATCAAATATCTTTCAGCTTCATCAGCAGTAAAGGGTAAAAGAAGACCCATTTAATGCTGGTTTTTTCATAACTATGGTACATACGTGATAGTTGTGTCAAGCTTTGATAATGATGCATGTTTTTACAGCTACGTGTGCTTTGGTCATCTCCTGGGAGCCAGCACGCGGGGGTTTAATAGGACAACATCCACTGACTTATATCATTTGTGACATGCTTTGGTTATTTATATTGTGTAACGGAAATATCTGTCTGTTTGAAATCTCTCTTCCCATACTCAAGTCTGGTTTGATGTAGAGGGATACGTACCGGACAAGTCTGTCATTATTAGCAGTGATCGATAATCGATCACCCGATAAATCTTAGTCCTGGGAGTTCCATCACGTTTTCTATGTATTATATATCGACATTCCATATTGTGTTCAGCTGTTCCGTTGTATTTCAATGTATAGAGAGAGGTGAATACTTATCTCTTGTTCGTAAAACGTTATCCTACTTGATCAGATTAGTCATCACCAACGTCTTAAAATTTTCAGGGAGCATTATAGTGGTCCAAAGTGAAATTCGGTTAGAAGATTACGTGTGTATTATACCTGAGTATATGTCGATTGTGTAAAATATCGGGTAAGTCTTAAGTTATCTCTTCCATGTCCATCAACGGAATCCTGTCCTGTTTGATTGTAATACTATTTAATTCCACAGTGTCTGGTGACGCCAGTTGGCTTGTTGGATGATTTTAATAGGGCTATACAAAGGGTATGTCTACAGATGTATTATGGGACACATCAAGAGTTTTTTTTTATATTAGCATGGCCTTACTCAGTGAAAGCCATGTGACAAGTAGAGAGCAGTTTCAATTCTCTCGTCGTCGGTGACGGATGGCAGACCCTTCCTCATTTGTTTGGGCGAATGCTCAATACTGAAGTCAAAAAACCACGATAGTGCCAAGTGAGACGCAAGGAAACAAAATGGTGGATAGGTGCTAAAGAGAAATGTCAAACCAAAACTGCTTTCAAGTTCGAAAGTAAAGAACATAAATCTGTCCCCACTTCTGTAGGATGCTTCACATTAGTCGCCTCCTATGGGTCATTAAGTGTGTGAGCGACTATCTGGGTAACATGGCGTTCTAGCATCACTAAAATGTCAGCTGTACAGTCCAGTTT